CACTCCAGTCTGGGTGACAGAGTGAGACTCCAACTCAAAAAAAAACAAAACAAAAAAAACCCAAAAAACAAGTGTGGAAGAACAGTAACATACTGGAAAGACTCACATTCTAAAAGCCATTCTCACTACTCAGAAACTAGCTTCTCCAAAATACACATTGGTTTTTCGATTCTTAAAGAACCATATATTAGACTTATTTAAACTCTCATAGGACCTAAAACAGATAGACTAGTACCAGGTTTCCTGTGAATATTTGTAGTTATACAGTTTTCCATGTAGTCACCAGCATCATTTCTTCTAAGTCACTAACAGAGCAAATTGATTTGGTAACAAGGTATTTTCCTAGAAGGGATCTTAGGAATTATCTTTAAGGAGCATTTCATTTAGAGTTAAGAAGACTGATAACCCAGTGAATCATTGGTAAAACTGAGACTATCACCCAGATCTCTTGATTTAAAAAAAAATTGTCCTACTACGTCCTTCCTAGGATCCTATTTCTTTAACTCCATGATATTATGATTTTTAAAAAGTGCTTAATTTGTGGAAATGAGTAAGTTATGTAGAATCTTGAATGTCGATGAAGGGTGAGTACATAAAGCAGTAAACCAGCAGGTAACTGTAATACCATTAAAAGGCTCTGTTCTCTTTAAAACCAGAGGCTTTAAAAATGTTTCAAGAATGTCTATCTGTACAGGACCAGAATTTAGATAATGTAATTTGATGTTTCTTATGGTTTCCTTTAAAAATACCTTTAAGGCATCTCAGCCCCTAAAGATATTAGTGTATTATTAGTCAGTGAAAGGTCTCCATTTTTTAAAAATCCAAGAGCATATATAATACTTTCATTCTAGTACCTGTGTGAGTTATGAAAATATGAAGTAGTAATAGAAAGAGTCATGCAGATCTGTTCAAGGAGTTGGCACATTTCAGATTTGTCCAAAGGCAAATGGATAGAAAGTGTTTACATTGTGAGAGTGTCTGACTGAAATAAAATTGTAAGTGGAGTTTATAGGAGTCTCTTAATATTAAGGCCAATATATCTTTTTTTTTTTTTTTGGGTTGGAGTCTCACTCTGTCGCCCAGACTGGAGTGCAGTGGCCGCTCCCGGCCACCGCAGCCTTGCCTGCTGGGGCTCCAGCGATCCTTCCACCTC